ACGTTTCTATCTCTTGGAAAAATCTGGCTCCTTCTCTGGATCATGCTCGCACAGTGCGACCTAGGATCTGTAAAGAGGATCTGTTGACTACTGGGTATAGAGGGGGGACATACACTGGTGGTGCCTGATGTTCCAGTGAGAAGTCAGGGCAGTCCAGATGTTAATGGTGTGTGCAGCGACCTTCTCAGGGGTGACCCACCATTCTGTCACTAAGGTGATATGGTGGTCAGGGCTTTGGCCGGCCTGTGGCCAACCGGCTTTGTTTGGTAGACTTTAGCTAGGGACAGTCATTCAGCCTGTGTGAGATAGAATGAAGGTTACGATATGGTAACACTAGGTATAAGCACATACAGTTATAAGCACAGGCGGAGCCCTCTACGAGCCCTGTTACTCCTACACCATCTTCTGAAGAGGCGGTCGGATGCTGATGCAGTAGGGACACTTCTATTTATCTATTCATGTATCAGTAGCAATGTCCAATTGGTCAGCTACGTGCACAATAAAAATTTCAGTGGGCAAGTGCATGCGTATGATTGGAGAAGGTAGTGCCCATAGAGTCCAGTAGAGGGCTCCGCCTGTGCTTATAGAACTAGTGTTCCCATATTGTAACCTTCGATCTTAGTCTATCTTTTGATGAGCACATTAAAGAAACCCCCAAGACTGCGGAACATTGCTAAAATTCAGTCCTTGACTCCATGGCCGGTACAGAGATCCTAATTCATGCCTTTGTTTCATCTAGATTATTGTAGTATTGAAGTGTTTTGTTGTCAGGCCTGTCAAAAGTACAAAAACTAGTAATGGTTTCAAATGGTTGAACAAAAGATGTAAATGTAATCTAAAACTATAACACGTTACAATTTTTTGCTGATTTTAACTTTCCTTCACCGGCTCCCTGTTAGATGTCAGGCCTTGTACCAGCTACCATTATCCTTCCAGCAGGTCAGATTAAAGTACCTATAGTCCATGTATGTCCTGCAAACAAGAATGCTGCTTGTATTAGCCTTCTAGCCTCATCCAGTATGATTTATTGTAGCTGAGAGCCATGAATTTCAGTCAGGCAGTTGAGAAGAAGCGCAAGTGATTTATGCTTTTGTTTACAGGGTGCTGTAGAACATTTAATCTGGCAGTGATGAGAGGGTGTGTCTACAGTAAAGTGTGTGTGGGTGGAAGTGCTCGCAAACCTGCATGAATGTGCTTGTGATTTCTGATAAATAATTAAGTGCATGAGGAAAGGAAGAAATGATAGTAAAGGGAAAGCTGGAAATATCTAGTGGTGGAACACAGGAATGCCGCTCCGGGAGTCAGAAGTTAACAACGTTTCTGCTCACATTTTCATTAGGGGAAATTGCCTGTAGCTGTTTTACACTGTTTCTAAAGTATGTATATGAAACAAATATAATTTATTGCACCAGAATTTAAAATATTCAATTCTAATGCATGTTCTGAATTTATTCTAGTTAATGACAATTCATGTGTTTATTGTTGTTGTGTGACAGGAGAGGAGAGCAGGAGAGGAGAGGAGACAGCATGTGAGAGGCAGAGCAGGAAATAACGTTAGTAGGAGAATATGTTTTTGGAAGCTGAATAAGCAGCAGCATCAATAAAATAATCAGTAGATCTCAGCAATCTTTGTGATTTTGAGTAACTTTAGTTAGATATTTTTATGTAACTCTCAAGCTCTCATGATAGTGGGTAAAACCAATAAGAATCTGTTTATGAAATTTTTATCCTTGAACGTAATCGATAAAGAAGATGATCATCCTACATGGGTTGAAGATGAATTTGTATTTCACAGGACAGCTGATATCTACAAATCATTCTGTGTGGTAAAACAGAGGCGTGCTATGTTAAGCAGAGGGAAGTTGGTCACAAAACCCGCAACGGAAACTTTTTATTCACCTCCAGGGTTCACATGTACATTGTAAATTAATCAGTGGAAATAGAGTTCTTGACAATATTCAGCCATCTGTATAACTTTGATAAGCTCACCATTCATCACTGAAAGCACCTCATAAAAGGTATGAGTCTAAATATCATCCACCAAAGGATTGCTTCTAACAGAGTGGTCAGATCATTAGCCTCCATTGATGTCCCCTTTAAAGGCATTACCCTTCATAAATGATAGCCCTGTCCATTAGTGGTAGTGCATAAAATGAGCTGTTGACTGCTGATGAAAATGGCCTCAATCAGTGCTCCCACACCTCTACGACCCTGTGACTGAGGTTCCTCCCCCTGGCAGGGGAAGGCACTAAGGAAGTGTTATCCATTATTGTTGCCTAATAGGTCAGCCACACAGAAAAACACCAGGACAAACACCAATAACACTTTCCTGCGACAACAAGGCCTGTAGATTTAAAGTGTTAAGTGGTGTCCTTGTTGGAGATGAAAGGGATTTCCACCGGAGAATGGGTGGTTGGAGGGATGTGGGGCTGAAGGACACATACAAGCAACCCCTCCATCCAACACACACACACACACACATGCACATTTGTCACTACCATGCTATATTTAAAATTGACAGTTACCATTGTTCTAAGAGACTCAGTGTGGAAAAAGAGGCATGGACTCTCCAGTCGTTTTTGTTACACGACTGACTGAGGCTAACATCTTACTTTGTAAGGGAAATATTTTTATAACTTGACAAATGCCAGAGTAATGTGCACTCTCTAGATTGACACTCAAATCAAATCATGTCTGAAAATAAATCTAGTGGTTATGCCTCCCATTGACTTTTTTTTTTATAATCTGACAGCTGTAGCAGCAGGCAATCTTGGTGATAGTCAAAATCAATAGAAGTTTAAGAGGAGAGATTGCAAAAGGCTGGCTGGTCAGATCAGTCACCTTAAATTACCAAGGCAATACAAAGAATGGCTGCAGGGCTGTCTTAGTAAAGGCCAGAAAGTAAAGCACATCACCTCAGACAGAGAAATATTAAAAAGGAATACAGGGGGAAACACAGACAGAAAAGATCATTAAGTGATAGGACACTGACCCTTATCTCTTGGGAAACAGCAGAAATAGGGCATGTGTTATTTGAGTATGAGGCAACACAGAAACATACCTGACAAACAAATCTTTAAAGGTCAATATTTTTATATTAACAACGGATGTCATTTAAAAGGGGTATCTTGTAATGATGAGGCCACAGACAATTATCGTCTGACTTTGTAGTTCCCCTCAGCATTAAGGAGCTTTATAGCATCTTTTCAGTAATTGTTTTGATTTTAGAGCTCGCAACTTTTTTTGTCGTTTTGGTTGAATTTTACCATAGTGTCATTTTGCAGCTGTTTTCAGTGAAAAAGCACTAAACATGACAAACAATTTGCAACTAGATGGTGAATATAGTGAAGCATTATAGCAGCTGAACAGCCAGATAGTTAGATTGTTCTCAGGAATTAGCGGAGACCAAAAACAGAGCAAGAACATACAGTACAGTGTATGGAGTGACATTCATCATGTGGTCTACTTAAAGGGTGATAAGAATGTCAGTGTTCACAGCTTGTTTCTGCAGACAAAAAAAAAACATTGAAGAATCTTAACACTTAACGGAAAGCTTGATGCTCCTTTCCCTGGGGGAGTCTCACTGTTTCTTTTGCATGTGCGTATTTCCTTAACCTTTTCCCTTTCATATTTCTGTGGAATACAGCTGCTATCATCCTCTGTTATCTACACCTCAATGAGGAACAATCGTGTTTACATTTGAGAGGAGAGAAACTAATAAACGTGACCTAAATGTCACATCCCCAAGTTTCCTGTTTCTCCACCTAGGTTCCTACTTCCTACGAATACTGCTTTTTTTTCAGAGACAACTTCCAGTGGCTTCTGTTGATGAAACGCCTTTTGTTGGCAGCCCTTTAGAGAAAATTGGACCAAATACAACTTTAAAATTACACTCACATAAAGCTGGAAAGAGTGCCACTCTGAGGCAGTCAATTTAGGACAAGTGGACTGTATTACTCTAGTGTCAGGGGAGTATTTCCATGGCCATTTGGGCCAAAACAAACTTGTCAGAAATGTCATTTTAATAAATTTAGGAAAGTTCTCCCACAAGGCTTCAGGGCTTGATAAAGGTTTGACAACAAATGTTATGAGGAAATCGTATCAGGATTTTAGCCCTGGTGCTTGAAGCTTAACAACACATTAAAAAATGTCAGTTTCACTTACAGTTGTTACCAGCTGGTGGAAGTTTCACTTGTTCTATGGTTGTGATTATTTTCTGTTTTCTTGTAATATAAAGTATTTTCTTCTTCCTAATCTTTGTTCTCTCCTCTCTCTGTTGTGGTGCTACAGAATCTCACCACTACCTTGTGTTCTTTTGTTCCCCCCTTCCCTGTGTTTTCTGTCTGTCCTCCCTGTCTGTGTCTGTCTGGGCGTGGCTACACTCCCTGGCTCCAGCAGCACACCTGGCTCTCATTCCACTAATCAAGCTCCTGCAGTATTTTAACCCCCAGTCCTCCTCACATTCTTTGCCAGATCGTCAGTTAACCACATGTGGTACATGTGTCAAGGCCAACTATCGTCTCCTGTAAGATTCCCTGTAATTTCTGTCTCTCCCTGGACTAACCTGTTTTTCTCTGTGCCCAGGATCACACTACCTCAGGGAAACCTGCTGAATGCCACACTCTGCTCTGCTCCTATCTTGCCTGGACTAACTCCCCTCCTCTGTGTTCTCCATTCTGCCCTGTTGGAGCCAACCACCCAGTCCTCTGTTGCACCTTTCAATAAAACCCCTTTGTTATGCCTTCGAACTGTTCCGAGTCTGCCTTTGAGTCCTCAAGTTTTTGCACTATGACACTCTCTGATTTTATGCTGATCAAGACTGCAGGTTGCTGTCAGTCACACTGTCACTGTAAAGTCAGTTTGTGTTTTTTTTCTCATAATACCCCTTTTACATCATAATAAACATAATAGCATCATCATCAAATCTACTTTTATCATTAAAGTTTTATCTGCTGCGCTAACCTCTGCTTGCTAATTACAAAAGCAGCTTTTCGTCTTACCTCTTGCCTTTTCTTTGTGATGGATGTCAAATGTTGTCTAATTTGCAGTGCACATACGGTATCTCCCGAACTGTTTGTTATCCCATGCGCACTGTTCCACCACTTACATCTGACTGCAACATAGCATCAATGATGTGGGCTGCTGAGTCATTTCCCTTTGTGAAAATTATTGGCCCAATTCCAATCTCCTCCCTAAAGCCTAAATCCTGAACCTTTACAGACTTGATGAGTTGACATAACCTGGTAAGTGCTTGAGTGCAAGAGGCTGCAAGGGCCTGAAATGGTATAATGGGACAGCACTTTGTGAGTTTACCTAGAGTTGTGGGTTTGGGAACATTTTATTTGACGTTTTTTACTTTCTTCACAGTCAAGGCACTTAAGGGACCAACTGCCTGATTTGAACGTATTCCAGGCTCGACCTTACAGTGAGGAAGAGAGGTGATTTTCAAATAATCAATTTATCAACACAACCTCATACAATTACATGTAAACTTATTTTTTCTTCCCCTGGTAACCCTGTGTTTAACTTCCCAAAGATATGAACAGTGGGTTATTCCTTCAGGCTGAAGGACAGTCCTAAATCCTTGTGGACCTACCGAGAATGTGCCTTAAAGTCTGTTACTCCGTGAGTGTGGAGATTAGAACTGGGATATTGTCTCTGTGATACCCTGACTTCCTGTGATAAGTATAGGAATAAATCCAGTGGTGTCAAATACATTTCTATGTCTTCCTTCAACTACTATTAATGAATGAATGAATTCTCCTCACCCATGGTCTGCCTCTGTATTCGGTGAGCTTGCCTCATACAGGACATTGTTATGTCCTTTATCATGAAAGTGAAATGGCAGCTGTTATCAGAACTTTTGAGTTTTGGTATTTAAGCAACCGTCAAACCAAACATGTGGTGATTGAAATACATATTCCAGATAAATACTGTAGAACAGTGGTTCCCAACCAAGTGGCTTGCAAGATGAATCTGAGGGGTTAAAACAGGATAGTAGAAAGTGGAAAAAACTAAAAAATATATTAATATCAAATATTTCTCTAATCTGTGATTGTGATAAACATTAGACATAAGAGTAGGCGTTGCTCGGTTTTAAGGATTCACAAGCCAAAAAAATGGTAGGAACCACCACTGACAGACCTAATTAAATCCCTTGATTTACCTTATTCCAGCAAAGCTTTACGCCCACAAGCAGCAACCTTGAATATAAGATAATGTTACACTAGAAATACCAAATGGACAGTGGCGTGTGCCACCACAATATAAAAACTCTGCCTTAATTAGATGAAACACTGCAGGACACTGTCTGTGTGTACATGCCAATCACTCATTCCAACAGGGTGCCCAGTTTCTGAAGAGAAGGGAAGTCTCTTAAAATCCACGCCATTTTTGACTGAAACCTCATGGCATTTACTGTGGCCATGCTAATCCTTATCCACCAGAGGGCTCACCACTTCAGAGAGGTTTTCATTATGGGCATCGTCACAGTAGTGAGCTTCTGTATGGGACAGTTGGTCTGTGCAGTAGGCCGGTCTAGTGGTGAGACGTGACAGAAATGCAAAGAAAGAGATTTTTGACTTATTTATACTTCTCTGAATAGCACGTTTCTGGCTCCTTTGCAGCCTCAGGTGAGGGATGGTGTGGTGTCGGCCCATTTTATAGAAGGAGCAATTCCCCCCCCCCCCGACTTGATTCCAGGCCATCTTGACTGACACCGCGAGACAGGATTTTTTGATGATGTCATACAGGAACTGTGAGGTACTACTTCATGCTACTAAGAGAAAAATGGTTATTAAAACATCTTTGATTAAATTCGTTATTGATATTTTTATTAAAACCATAACATTCATATACAACATGAGAGGGATCCCAAACTGAGCTGAACTGAATTATTCATTTCTAAATGAAAAAAATTTAGTTTGTTGGCCCATTTTTTCATCATTTGATCAGAACTTTGAAACACAATCGGCATGTTTCCAAGGCACGTTAGTGTGTTTTACTGTATGGTTTGATATGTATAGATTGAGATGAAGCCATACTCACTGTAATTTTCTCTCAGCTCAGAAAGGTTTTAAGATTTTCCATTAGGCCTGCAACCACACTGGCTAGCTCAAGCATAATTTACTTGGCCACAATCTGCTGTTACTGTATGGCTGGGATAGCAATAAGGTTTTAATGGGCTTCTGTCAATAACATATTGCCAGAATATGTTGTACCATGTGTTTATGAAGAGTTACGCTAATGCTTTACAACAGCTACTCTGAGCTTTTAGGAACAGCAAGTGCAGCTCAACAATGGCTAATGCAGAGCTTTGCCAATGTATTGTAGCTTAGCATGCACAAAAAACTGATCAGAAAGAGATTTGTTTTTTCCTTCATCTTTTTTGAGTGTTTTCACAAGTGTCTCTGGACTATTCAGGAACTTGGCAAGCCATATGTTGGCTCAAATGTTGGCATCTTTACGTCTGAGAGTTGTTTTTATTTTTTATCTCAAAGGGGAGACAGATTGAAATTGAGTTTTTTGTAAAGTCTGCAATCTACTTTGATTTTGTGTTTTTGACAGGTGAAGGAAGATACCTGACCTATTCACAATAAATAAAGCGGGACAAAATGAGACAAAAATAGACAAACCTGAATGCATGAATATATTCATTAGGAAGTGGATAAACTAACAAATATGACAACTAGAAGAGTGCACTCAGTAGATTGCTAACGTAATCTGCACTCTGCCGGACTAAACCGGACTCTTATACAGTTTTAATCCACTCTTTTTCGTTACATTATTTATATCCTTTTTATTTAACTTAAGTTTTTAACTTAAGTTTTACGTGGGTTAAGGATTTTAGTCATCTGACATGGATTTGGACATGGCTATGCTAGCCAAGATAACTCTGCCCCATGGAGGATTTTTATCAGAACTTCCTGAATTTTTATCTACTCTGGTTTTAAACTATGACAGAATTGTGACATGTTGATGACCCCACCAATGTTAATGCAACTGACTTTTTAAATATGGCCACTTCTTTTAACTTCAAACAACATGTCAAAGGGCAAACACATAACCGTGGTCATACACTGGACTTGGTTTTTACCCTGGGTGTCAGCATTTCCTCTGTGGAATTAGTGGACATGACCATATCTGACCACAGATGTATTGTTTTTAGCTGCGATTTGCCTGTTACTCATGCCACCTCACCAAGCTCCGTGTGTTCTCGCATCTTTAATGAACAAAGTGTTTCAAAGTTTTGCGCATTCTTTCAGAGCCAAAGCCAACACCTGTCTGATTCCAACACCAACAATCTGGTCGATCACTTCAATCATATCTGCTTGTCGTCACTAAATATTACTGCTCCTCTAAAGGTTAGGCCTACGTCTAAAGCTAGTAAGCAACCCTGGATAAATGACAGCATTCGCAGCCTAAAAAGGGAATGCAGGAAAGCAGAGCGCAGATGGAAAAAATCCAATCTCCAAGTCCGTTACCTCAGTCTGAAGGATTTATTAATTAACTATAATAACATGGTTAAGGATGCGAGAACGCACTATTTTTCTGAACTCATTACTACACATAAACACAATCCCAGGTTTCTGTTTAAGACTGTGGATCAGCTGGTAAACCCAACCCCTCCTTGTGCCTCAGCTGGAAGTAATGATGACTGTGAATTGTTTTTATCTTATTATACCAATAAGGTGGTGTCAATCAGAGCCTCTATTACCCCCGCGGCCTCTTACTCAGAGGTTCCTCACCAGCAACAAGAGAGTTTTAACCAGTTTTATCCCATCGACTTGTCTGAGCTTTTAAAAACAGTATCACAAATGAGAGTGTCCTCCAGCCCTTGATGTAATACCTACAAAGTTTTTACTGAAAGTAATGGATTCTGTTGGGCCCCATTTGATCTCTGTTTTCAACAGCTCCCTATCTACTGGTTGTGTCCCTGATTATTTTAAAACGGCTTGCGTGAACCCACTTTTAAAGAAACCTTTAAAAGGTTTAGATCCCCCCCTCCCACATAATTTTAGACCAATTTCAAAACTGCCTTTTATTGCAAAGATTCTAGAAAGAATTGTGTCCAAACAGCTGCTCACTGTACTGGAAAATAACAAAATATTTGAGAAGTTTCAATCTGGTTTCAGGAAGTACCACAGCACTGAGACTGCCCTGCTTAAAGTCACCAATGACCTTTTAATGTCTGCTGATGAAGGCATGTGCTCAGTCCTGGTACTCCTGGACCTTAGCGCTGCTTTTGACACCATTGATCACAACATCATGTTAGACAGATTGAGGCACTGGGTGGGGATCTCTGGTACTGCCCTAGAATGGTTTTCATCCTACCTGTCAAATAGGAAGTTTTGCGTGTCTGTAAACAACTATGTCTCTTCGTTCTGTCCAGTTAAATATGGTGTGCCTCAGGGGTTGGTCTTAGGACCCATTTTGTTTTCCTTGTATCTGCTTCCCCTTGGACATATTATCCATAAACATGGCATTTCTTTTCATATTTATGCTGATGACACACAAATGTACTTGCCCGTCAGATCCACAGACCCTGGAATGCTGAGTTCACTTAACAACTGCCTTTGTGAAGTTAAAAAATGGATGTGAAATAATTTCCTCCAACTGAACTCAGACAAAACAGAAATCCTGGTCATTGGGTCCCAGCAGATGGCAAATCAAATACTGCCATCTGCTGGTTCCCTAGTAAATCACATTAAGCCTGTGGCAAAGAACCTTAGTGTTTGGTTTGATAGTAATTTAAATTTCGAGCAGCACACCACAAAGCTTGTTCAATCATGTTTTTATCAACTTAGAAATATAGCAAAAATTCGATCTATGTTAACTTTTAAGGACACCGAGACCATTTTACACGCCTTCATCTCATCACGCCTGGATTATTGCAACAGCCTTTTCACCTTTTTAGCTCAAAAATCTATTGATCGACTCCAGACTGTCCAGAACTCAGCTGCCAGGCTTTTAACCAGAACAAAGAAATATGACCACATTACTCCTATTTTAGCTTCATTACACTGGCTCCCAGTATGTTTTAGAATTGACTTTAAAATTCTATTGATTACTTTTAAAGCTCTTCATGGCCTCTCGCCTTGTTATATTTCTGACCTTTTAGTCCCATACACACCAGCACGTACCTTGATCCTCGGGCAGAGGTCTGCTATCTGTTCCATAGTCTCGACTGAAAACTAAAGGGGACAGCGCGTTTGCTGTCAGGGCCCCGAGGCTCTGGAACAGCCTGCCCGAGGAAATCAGGTCAGCTGAGTCAGTGAACTCTTTTAAGTCCCTTCTTAAAACATACTTTTATAGGAGAGCCTTTCCCGATCTTATTTGACTTTATTTTATCCCTTTTATTTTATTGTATTTTACTTATTTTATATTTATCTTAAACGTGTATTTTAGTCTTTTCAATGTTTTCATGCTTTTATCTTGTATTGTTTTTGTATTATTGTCTCTTGGTATTATTGTCTTTACACTTGTTAAAGCACTTTGTAACTTGTTTTTGAAAAGTGCTCTTCAAATAAAGATTATTATTATTATTATTAGAGTGTAGATTTCCGCCAGGTGTCTGGGGTCATGTGGGTGGGGAACAGGGAGTGCAGGGCAGGCAGCGTTACCAGCATGTATACATGAGAGTAGTAGAATTAAGGGGAGACAATATGCAGGTTACATTATCAAGGTGTATCCTGAGTAAACAGGCTACATGAAGACAAATCTCTGACAATTCCAAAACACCAGTGATGTAAAATGTTCATTTCAAAGTGTAAATGGCAAAAAAAGAATGCGCCAACACTAACGTGACCACCACATACGTTGTCCCTTGTGAAGCAGTTGTTCATCCCTTGCAAGCCTCTACTGGCCAATTAAGAGGAGTGAGGAGTTATGTGTGTGTACAATGTGTACAAAAAAAATAATCTGATGGGTCCAGTAGTATGTGCGCTTAGCTGCGGACACCTACACATGCAAACGCAGACATTAGCACACACTAAATGTTACAAACCATATTAACCATGCACATAAGAAAATGTTTGTCCATGCTATAGTACATGCATTAGTAGTATACCATAGTGCTTTATGAAACTTATATGAATTATAATTGTCTGAACACGGTGGCAGAAAGTGTGAGAATTTTTACCGTCATCCTTGTTCAGTATTCCTCTCTCCTCCTTTCTCCAGCACCTCTGACTTTGTTCCGCTTTCCCCTGTTGCCCACAGGCGGCCTCCTGGCAAAAATGAAGGGATTTCTATGCCAGTGGAGTTTGCTATCATCAATCCAGTTTGCCATGCTTCAGTCCCTGTCTGTCTCTCCCTCCCTCCCTCCCTCTCTCCCTCTATCCATCCCTCTATCCATCTATCCATCCTTCCATCCACTCCGTCACATCCATCTCTCCCTTCCCCAGGTTGGGTAAATGGATTGCTTTTGTTAAAAAAGATAGCCTCTGGGGACCTGCATTGAAGCACTGGTCTGCCGGGCCTTCTATTTTAATGAAAAGTTAAAGCCCCAGCAATCACACC